CCCGCAGCCGGGGGCCGCCCGGGCCGCCCTCCAGCTGCTCGCCGGGGGTGCTCCCGGCATTCCTGCCCGGGGCAGGGGGTGAGCTGGAAGACCCCCCAGGCCCCGCCCGCGTCCCGTCCATCGTCTGGGGACGCTCCCTGAGAACTGATTGCGCGTAGAGTAGAGCTCGGGGGTCCCGTCAGAGCTCGGGGGCTTTTAACAATGCGCCTGTGGTGATTATGGAACAAACAACTTAACCACCGTGCGAGGGGACGCTTGTGCAGTTCTGTAAAAACATCACTCTGTTTATTATGGTTTTTATACCCTGCCTTTTTTCTTTTACAAACAGCTCAAAGGTCTAAGTCTCCCCCTGCTGTGCCCTCTCCCCTCCCCTCAGCCTTTTTTCACAATCTCCTCCAGTGGCAGGTTAGTCTCAGACAGGAAGAGGTATGTATTGCTTATTCATTGGATTTATATCCTGCGTTTCCCAGCACTCCTCCAGTTTTTCCCTACAGTAACCCTCTAAGGTAGGCTGGGTGAGCGCTGAGTGCGTTTCCAGGGCTGAGGCTGGAGTTGAACCTGGATCTCCCCGGGCCACTCCAGCGCCTAAGCAGAGCACTTTCAACAGCTCTCTTGGTCCCTTGCCATTGGCTGTGCAGTAATGGGTGGCCGATGGGAGTCGTAGCCCCCAAACCCTTGGGAGCACCCCGTTGCCTGCTCTGGTTGAGATCAGGTGATTGGGCTAGGTGTGCTTTCTGAGTGAGGGGGATTAGAAACCTGACGTGTGGTTTATGTGGCCACACTGGTAGTGTGTCAGATCAGTGCCTTTTCTAATGTTGCCTGAATGTTACCAACCAAATGCCTAGCCATTTGGACTAGAAACTTTTTCTAAATAATATGAACTGGAAACCAGGGGCCGGGGTTGGATACTTAAGCTCCTTGAGCAGAACATAGATAGCTAAGCCTTAGCAGTGGGTGACAAGTGGGATACAAGAGAGAGATCCATGCGTGGAGTGGCTGACGAGTCCCTATAAAGAATTCTATAGGATTCTGTAAAGAATCCCACAAAACTTTTCTCTTCCTTGCTTATCTTATCCATTTTCCATGGGGAATAAGTTGTTTTCTTTTATTCTTTGTCGGGGGAGGATGTTGTGGGACTATACGAGTAGTGTAGCTGAGCTTTGCAATTCCTGAAATGATGACTGTGTGAACTTGGAGGAGGAGAACTCTGTGTAAATTCCTCTTTCCCTCTAGCCTGTAAAACAAGCTGTGGAGTGCAAGGCCTTGGAGTCTGCTGCTCTCCTCTGTCTTGACAGACTTCAGCCCTGCGTGTGATGGGGAAATGAAGGTCTGGAGTTCGGAAGCATCTGCCGGGTCAGCCATGGCTGCAGGTGAAGCCAAGGATGCTGGGATGGACTCCCACAGTGCCCAGTTGCTCCATCTGGAGCAGAGGATGGTGGCAGCTGAACAGAAGTGGATGGGCTGCGAGAAGGCAGTGATGGAAATGGGGAGCCAGCTGGAGAGCAAGCTGGCTGTGTTAGGGGCCATCTTGGAGGAGAACAGCCTGTTGCAGAGGCGGCTGGAGAACCTAGAGAGCCTGCTGAAGAACCGGAACTTCTGGATCCTGCGCTTCCCTCCAGGATTTAAAGGAGAAATTCCTAAGGTAAGTGTCCCACTGGAGTAGCCTGGTCCAGAGAAGAGCAAGGGCTCTATAGGAATGGCTTGGGAGGAGGCTACAAAGTGTGCCTGGAGTGTAAATGAACTTTATTGTACAGCAACCATCTGCAAAGCTTAGCCCTGCCATGTTTTCACTGAGCCTTCCGTCTCAGTCAAGATTCCTAGGTTGCACCTGAGAAATAAATTCTATGGAATTCACTTAGGACCATGGTTTATCTCCCCAAGATTACAATTAGTAGCCATGGTTTCTGTGTGCTAACCATATTTAATCACAATTTGCTCTGATTTGGACAAGACAAACTGGCTAGTTGAAAACAGGAAGGTGCTTTGTGGATGGGCCAGAAGAGGAAAAAGAAGATGACTGGTGGAGGTATTGACTACGGTTCACTGTTACATCTAAGAGCAAGCTGCTTGTTTAAAAACAGATAACTTTGCAAGCTTGTTACCTTTTTAGAACTGGAGAGAATATTAGCATTTTACTCCAGATCTAGTATAAAAATACAGGTGAAGGGAAGTGGGGTTGACACGATGGAACAAACGCAGTGATTTTGCAGCATTCTTGCTATTCAGGTGCCAGTGACCTTCAGTGATGTTTCAGTCCATTTCAATGAACAGGAATGGAGGAACCTAGAAGAATGGCAGAGAGAGCTTTATAGAACTGTCATGAGAAGCAACTACGAGATGCTGGTCTCCCTGGGTAAGGGATCTACTTTGATCTCCTGCTTGATGACTTTTAAGCGTGTCTGTACGTTGACTGTGTAACCCTCTGTGCAAGTTGCCCCAAGTGGGTTTGTCTCCTAACAACCCATCTCCTTTCCTACGGTAGATTATGCCATTTCGAAGCCTAATATCCTATCTGAGATGGGGCAAGGGGAGAAAATGTGCACGGAGGACTCAGAAGCCTTGGAGGATAGGGAAATACCTAAGGAACCCAGCTGTGCAGGTATGTTAATGGTTGCTGACAGATGAAGCTTTCCCATTTATGAATCCCTTTTTCCAGTTTATGGCTGAATTTGTTGGCGTGTGCAGATGGGAAAAGAAAGAGCAATTTGTGCCTTTTCCTGGCCTGCAGTTTTGCTGCTTCCGTATATCACTGCCTGAACGTCTTGCATTTTACTTCATTCTTGACCATTCTTGCTTTCCCACCCCAACAAACTATGGATTTAGATATGGTGGTGCACATGCATTAAAAAGGCAGGAGATACAATAAAAGTAAATGTCCCTTGATCAGGAAAACACCCTCTGCATCTCATGGAACGGACGGCCACAAAATCTTACACTGTAGCACGTTTGTTAAAGATGTTTCGGTTGCATTATGCTAATACAACAATCCCGTGACAATATTATGAGCAGCCTGAGATCCAATGGATTTGGAGCTATGGTCAGCTGGTTGCCTTTTTATGTACTGTCTTGTTAATAAGTATTAAGGGCCACCGGAACAGCAATTTCCCAGTGGACAGTTCCTACTTAAGCCCATTAATTTGGAAACAGTGTTCTGAAGAGACGGGGTTCTTTTTGAAGCGATGCTCCTGTATAGAGATTGTTCATCCCATGGCTGAAGCTCCTCAGCCTTTGGCTGGATCCTCCATTTACTTTCACTTGGACAGGAACTAGCATGGGCTTGAAAAATCCCATTCAAATCTCCTCTTAAGCATTGGGGAAGCCCTGACCGAGGAGCTAAAAGTTGTTTCCTTCTCCATGTGTGCAGGTTCCCCGGTTGATGTGGCAGATGCTTCTTCCGGAGATGGAGAAGTTGAGGAAGAAGCTAATCTGTTTGTTGATGTGGCAGATGCTTCTTCTGGGGATGGAGAAGCCGAGGAGGAAACTAATCTGTTTGTTGACGTCGCAGATGCTTCTTCTGGAGATGGAGAAGCCGAGGAAGAAACTAATCTGTTTGTTGATCAAGAGAATTGCTATGAAATGAGCTTCATTGATAGCTCTGGCCTTGGTGAGTTTTGTTCCTCAATATTTGCCTGCAGAGCCTCAGCCATTGGCCCACATCCTTTTGCAGTGTGGTGTAATAAATTGTACGTGAATGCAGACATCCACTTACGATGTGGCAATTTTACCTGATCCCCCATCCCCAAAGCTGGTAATTTGTACTGATGTATTGACCTGCCAGGTGGGAAAGACCATAGTTAAACTCTGGAATTTGCTGCTATCAGATAGGGTGATAGCCACCAATTTAGTTTTAAAAGTAGACCGAAGAAAGTAATGGAGGATCCGATTATTGACAGCTGCCCGCAATCACAGGCGTCATATTTTTGGGAGCAGCGGTGGAAGAAGGGTGTCATTCTTCTGTCTCTGCTTGCTACGCTTGGGAAATAGCTCTTAGTTTGATCCAGTCTTTAAGTCCTTGTGTTGCTGCATCTCCTTTGTTTCCTTGGATTTCTGATCCGATGGAAGAATAACATTTTCTTTCTTGCTCGGCATGATGTTTTTATCAAGCAATTATTTGTCATTATTTAAACATATTTGGTCTTTACCCGTTTGTTTGCCACTCAAGATCTGCTCTTAGTCCTGCATTTAGGTCAGGACCTTTCTGGAGGAATGGCTTTATGCAGATCTATTTTTTCCTAAGCATTTAGACCAAACTGCAGTGGAGGCAGCCCTTTTTGGATCTTGAGGTAGGAAATCTAATTTGATCCCAGAATATCACAGAAATAAGCTTTATGCACACTGGTGCTACGTAAACTGTAAGTTATAACAAATAAAAGGTATTGTAGTTTGATTCCCAGTTGAAAACATTTGGAAAACTCTTTATTCCACAAAGAATATCAGATTGTTCGTCATGATATTAAGGAAGAAAAAGAAGAACTGCATATTAAGGAAGAGCCATGGTCTCCTGGAAGCCCCGGCAGTGATGAATGTGAGTGAAATAACAAGGCAGAAATTCTTGGTATTCCTGGGAACCTAAATCATGTAGTGGATGGAATATTCCAGGAATTAGAATGGTTGTACTTCATTACTGGCTGATATTCTCTTATGTGATTACTTTTATATGGATTTAGCATTTTCTCAATAGTGTTCTGGTTTAAAGATGGGGAGTGGGAGGACGAGGAATGTCCTGAAAATGGATGCTTTGGCATCTCAGACAATTTAAATTGTGGCAGGGAGGGAGTGGAGCCTACAAGCATTTCAAATTACTTTTGTTTCCGCGGAGAGAGGTCATGGACAACTCTGCCTGCTGGGCTGGGGGCAGGGGAGGTGAAGGAGACCAAGGGAGGGGGCAAGAGAACCTTTCTGATTTGCACCTCTTGGGCACAGATCCACCCGTTCCAGTCTCCATTAAGCAAGAAGAGGAGTTATGTGTTGAAGATCAGGAGGGTTTGGATTCGCTTGGTGAGTGCTGGGTAATAATGACAAAGTACAGCAATTATTTAGCATAACCAGGCGTTTCCTAAAATTGAAGGAGCGTTTAATCCCTAATGATGTAGGGAATGAATTCCACATGATAGGTATAACATTATTTTTTTATTACATAGCTCTTTGAAAAATGTTATTAAGCCCACAAATACAGGTAGTCCTCGGGTTACAGCCTCTCGTTCAACGACTGTTCAAAGTTACAACAGCGCTGAATGAGCGGTACTTATGATGGATTCTTGAAGTTCTGGACATCGCAGCACTCCTGTGGTCACGTGATTGTGATTTGGGCGCTCTGCAACTGACTTGCCCTTACAACCGTTGCAGCATCCTGCGGTCACATGATCACCATTTGCAACCTTTGCTGCTGGCTTCCCACAAGGAAAGTCATTGAGGAAGCTGGCAGGGAGGTTGCAAGTCGCTCCTGTAAGTCACTCCCGCCACTTTTTCTCTCAAGCAGCACTGCTGCGGAGTAGGATCTCCTACTCTGTAGCACCCGACTCACATTCTGTAGCATGCGCCCACCCACAACCCCCCCCCGCTCACCTGTCTGCGCTCCATAGCTCCTGCCTGCAACCCCCACCAACCTGCCCCCACTGTGCTCCCTAGCACCTGTAGTGAAATGTGGAAAAGACCTTGGGAAACTGGGCAGAGATGTTGCCAAGGGAATGGTCAGATAAGAGACAGCATAGCCTGTAGCTGGATGAGTGGGCGGGGCAAGAGGCTCAGAAGGGACCCTCCCTAGTTTCTTGGGCGATAAAGGAGACAGTGGGGAGAATTGTACTTTCAGACTTGCAAGATTGCTGTCAGCCTTGGGGGGTAAACCAGATAGGAATCACAACCAGGTGAGCTAATTCTACTTCATTATAATGCTACATTGACAATCTTGCAATGCGGTCAGGTGATGTCACACTTTATGACTGCATTGTTTAGCGATGGAAATTCCAATTGCCCTCGTAACCCGAGGAGTACCTGTAATGTATGCATAGATGTCTTCATTGTAAATCCTATTAGCCTGTTATTTGTCCTGAAGCTAAGGATGTATTGTGGAACGTCTCCTTTGCAGACTTTTGTTTGTAAACTGGAAACTTTTGAACCATGCATAGGGTTTTTTTTTTAAAGAGTGGTTCCTTTTTGCCTCAGCTGGACACACAGTGCTACTCCAGTCTGTAGAAGAAGACGACGAACAGAAGACTCCATCATCATTGATGGCCTGTAGGAATGCTATTCTGCATGATGCCACAGATGATTCTGAGCAGAAAGAAGCATATGCAAAAGGGTGCCTTGTCCAGTGTGGCAGATGCAGTAAGAGCTTTGTGCATGAGGAGACCTTGACTGATCACCAGTATAGCCGCAAGCGAAAATTCCAGTGCACAGAATGCAACAGGAGCTTTGCTTTCCAGGGACAGCTGTCCCAGCACTTGCTAATACACGCACCTGGGACGCAGTTCCATTGTACTGAATGTAATCTGTGTTTTTCAAGCCAAAAGGCTCTTAGTGTGCACGAGCGTGTTCATGCAGTGGATTGGCCACTGCACTGTTCTGCATGCAACAGGACATTTATGGACACAGCAGCATTTGACCAGCACCAGCTGTCTCACGCACCAGGCCAGGTTTGCCGGTGTGTGGAGTGCAGTGTTTACTTTACTGATCCAGCAGCTTTGGCAGAACACAAGCGAATGCACTCGGAAGACTGGCCTTTCCGGTGTGCTCAGTGCGACCGAACTTTTGTGCACCAGGGCTTACTGTTGGAACACCTTCAGAATCACAGCAGAACAAGGAGTCGCCGCTGCCATATCTGTGGCTCATGGCTTTCCTACAAGGGAATGCTGAAGCATACTGGGGCTCAGTTGTATCACTGCAAGAAGTGTAATACTTCTTGCCAAGTTCAGGGGTCTGACTCATTGACTATGAGCTTTAAAAATAAAAATAAGCCAGGCAAAGCTAGTTCTTACGCCCCCCCCCCCGCCCCCTTAGGATATATCCCCAGTATGAAAAGGTCAGATACAAAGATTATTTTTGTGGATTCCTGTTCTTTAAGGTGTAACAGGGCAGTTAAGAAAAGTATGCACTTGGGATATATGGTGATAGCATGGAAGTCCCCTTAGCAATGAACAGTCTTTTCCATGATTAGGCAACTCTGGATTGGTCCAGAAAGGATTTTGCTGTGGAATGAGATAACCTCCTGCTCCTATTAGCAGTGGAATATAGAGTATGCCTCTTTAACTTCTTTCCTGCAGTCTCCTCTCCCCTACCCCAGTACACCCAAATTTTATTTTTCTTGTGATCAGGTTGGCAGTTTCCTTCCTTTGACCGTTGAATTAGTGTTGGAAATTGCTACCTCTTGCATTGTGTGATGGCTGCTTTGCTATCTGTACAATAGGTTTGCTTCTTTTTAGGCATGCAATAAGAGAGGAGCTTGTGGCAACTGGACTGCTACTATTGCCATCAAACCCAGTTATCCAACTCACCTTTTTGTTTTCACTTTTTAGCCCCCCCCCTTCATAAAGGATCCACATCTGTTGTCTGTTGTGACCTTCTCATGATAGCTTACCATAGTAACAGGAGAAAGAATATTCTGAAAAGTTTCATAATGGTCAGGTAGTAAATGGTGGGTTGAAAAACATTCTTTCCAGGCTAAGAACTAATTGCAAGCTAAATCTGGACATATAATCTCTGAAGCATTTTCTGATTTTGCTATCATACATTTATAAATACTCAGTACTCTTCCTATGCTATATTTTAGCTTTCCTTGGTCTGAGCTTTTCCATGTGTGTTAGACAACAGCAAAGTGGGCTGGATGTATGTGATGTAATCCAACATATCCTAAGGATTTCAGGTTGGAGAAGGTGGCTTTATTTTTTTACTCCACGTCAGGAAGAATATATTAGCGTTCTCACTTCTGGAGTTATTATATTTTTGTTCTTGAAGCAGTCACTAAGAGGTTTCAGTTCATCATATGCTAAACGATTATCCTGTGTGCTTATTCCCTCATGATTTCCTTGGCTCTTAATCCATTAATTCTCCTAAAGGCTGTTCCTCATTTGTGAAATATACCCAACTGTACTTTTTCCAGGGTGATGGTAGGCTGGTTGATTTGGCTGAAGAAGCGGCTTTATAGTAAGGCAGAAATCAATTAACTTGCCTCCATCAAGTACTTCATTGCTTTTGTGAGTGTTTTAATATTTGCTTCATTAAATGGTTACTTCACTACAAATTCTGAACTTGGATTTTGTAGCATTTTTACCTATCTTCCCGATTTAGAATTTTACTTCAGGAATTTCCTGGGGCCTGTTCAAGATGCTAAACTTACTGGGCTCAAATTGTGTTGGAATTCCGCCAATAAAATCTTACAGAGTTTGTATCATACAATATTCTAGCCTTGCGTGTCAGCAATAATGGCAGATACTGAGTCATAGCATCGGGGGGGGGTTAGAGCTGAACCCTAAGATTTTTCTTATGCTGCAGTAGCGCTCTAAAGTGGAAGTACTTTTCCATCCTTCATCCTGGCCGTGTGCTGACGGGATGTTTCAGAAGGAGCGTCGGATGCGGAGGGAGCAGCGCCCGTCAGGCCGCTTAGCAGCCCTTCGCTGTGCTTGCAATGAAAGGCAGGCCTGCGTTCCAAGATTAGGAGGACGTTAGGCTGTGGGCTAGTCCAGTCAAGCGGACTTAGGTGGTTCACCATTAATGGCCGGCTGGGCAGTTCTGGGGGTTGAAGTCTCAACGTCGCCAAGGCTGAGGAACCCTGCCCTAGAGCAGCGGACTCGAGCGTCCCCAGGCAGGGCCCCGGAGGAGGAGATTCCTCCCGGGGTGGGGCGCCAGAGCTCGGGGCCGGCGCAGCGGGTGGGGGGCCTGGATTACTTCCCCCCCGCTTCTCTCGGTGGAAGCTGGGCGGGTGCCGGAGGAGCAGCCCGCCTGGGCCGCAGCCGCAGCTGACTTCCGGGCC